ATGTGGGACTCGGCCTCAGGATGGACAGAGAAGTGGTGCCTCGATGTGCACCCGGGATCCGAACCCGGGCCGCCAGCATCGCAGCGCGCGCACTTAACCACCAAGCCACAGGGCCGGCCCTCCTGTAGTCTTTTAAAACTGTTTCCTATTATAGAATGTGTTGTGATGTATTGATAAATATCTTCTGCTAATCTGTGAGCTGTTCTAGGGCTGGTCCACCTAGCACAGTGCCTTTGTGCAAGGTACATGGTAAATACTTAGGGTTTGTTGCATGATTGAATAAACAAACTGATTCTTAGTATGAGTGGCCAATTCTCAATTATTTTTAGTAACAGAAAACACTGATAAATTAACTCCAGAGGTGATATAAAAGTCAAATCTCTTCCCCTGAGCAAATTTTTGCCAGAGTTTCTAAGAAGCAATAACCTTGACTGAACTAAGTTTTCTTTTCTTTTCTTTGCTCACGCCTTGGTGGGAGGTAATGGATAAAAAATATAGACATGGCAAGAGAAGGAAGACAGAAACTCTATCTCTAAATGACTAAGAGCTTGTGGAAGAGCTTGGGAGATAGACCCACATGAATGATTGGTTACTCCAGGGTTCCAGGTGTCAGGGATTCTGTCAGTACTGTGACTCCCGGCCGCTTCTCCCTGCTCGCATTTCTCTGTCAATTTGAGAATGGGTCTGCAGGCATTTTCTGTAAAGGGCCAGATAGTAAATATTTTAGGCTTCGTGGACCAAGAAACAACATCAAGGACATCAGGTGCTTACATAATGAGAGATAAAACAAATTTCCATGAATTTTTATTGATGAAATTCAAAACATAATAATAATGAGGCCAGCCCCGTGGCCTAGTGGTTAAGTTCGGCATGCTCCACTTTGGCTGCCCAGGTTCGGTTCCTGGGTGCGGACTTACACCACTCATCAGTGGCCATGCTGTGGCAGGGACCCACATACAAAGTAGAGGAAGACTGGCACAGATGTTAGCCCAGGGCCAATCTTCCTCAGCAAAAATGAGGAGGATTGGGATGTTAGCTCAGGGCTGATCTTCCTCACAAAAAAAAAAAAAAAAAAGAGGAAGTTTGGCAACAAGAGTTAGCTGAGGGGGAGTCTTCCTCATTGAAAAAACAAAAACAAAAAACATAATAATAATAATAATTGGGTACTATTTTCTGTAATACAGTCTACTAAGGAGAAGAATGGAATTCTTTTGGGCAGGATAACACTTTGCTTAATTGGAGTTCAAAGTTAGTATTCCGTATCATCCTGGTAGAAACAGGGCCTCATTCTCCGACAAAGCTTCCCTGAAACACGGTGGTCTTCCATCCTGAATTCCAGCCAGAATTCACCAGAATGTACTGGCTGCATGTGCCCTCTTGGTGTTGGAGAACTTTTCACACAGGCAAAGCAGTTTAAGAGCATAGTCTCCGGGGTAAGATTCCTTGGATTTGAATTCCAGCACAAAGACTCATTAACGATGAGATCTTTGACTACTTACCTAACCTATCTAGAAGCTTTTGTCCCCTCATCTATAAAATGAGTAATAGTACCTATTTCACATGGTTGTCGTAAAGATTGAATACAAAGATTTAGAATGACATATTGTAAATATTATTCTTCTTTTGATATTTTTTCAACCATTAAAAAATGTAAAGCCATTCTTAACTCAAAGGCAGTACAAAAATGGGTGGCAGGCTGGCTCTGGCCTGCAGGATGTCATTTGTGGACCCCTGCACTAGAGTATAAACTGGAGTTATGACCACTTACTTCAGAAATAATGATTGCTTTTTTCCTAATTGCAAAGCACCGTATGCTCACTGCAGAAAACGTGGTAAACACAGAAAAGCACAATAAAACAAAAGTCATTCAGGGGCCGGCCTGGTAGCATAGCGGTTAAGTTCGCACGCTCCGCTGCAGCGGCCCCTGGGTTCACAGGTTCGAATTCCAGCCACGGACCAATGCATCACTCATCAAGCCATGTGTGGCAGCGTCCCATATACAAAATAGAGGAAGATGGGCACAGATGTTACCTTAGAGCCAATCTTCCTCAGCAAAAAGAGGAGGATTGGCAACAGACGTTAGCTCAGAGCCAGTCTTTCTCACACACGCCCACAAAAAGTCATTCAGAATCTTCGCCATCCAGAGATGACTTAATAGTAGCACATTTCTCTATATCCTTCCAGTCCATTGTATGTGTACACATATACACATGTATTTTTTAATAAAAACAAGCTCATACTATGCATACTACTTTGTATCCCTTTTTCACTTATTGATATGTACTACTTGTTATTAATATTCTTCTATAACCTGAATTTTTTTTTGTGTGTGTGTGAGGAAGATTAGCCCTGAGCTAAAATGTGTCATCAGTCCTCTTTTTGCTGAGGAAGACTGGCCCTGGACTAACATCCGTGCCGATCTTCCTCCACTTTATATGGGACACTGCCACAGCATGGCTTGACAAAGCAGTGCATCGGTGCATGCCCGGGATCTGAACCCCGGCCACTGCAACAGAGCGCACACACTCAACTGCTGCGCCACCAGGCCGGCCCCCTATAACCAAGTAGAATGACTGCATACTACTCTGTTATACAGATGTATTTACTAAAGAAATTCCCAACAACATTAAAGTTATTTTGAATTTTTCACCATTAGACATAACTCAGTTATAAACTAGTATGTACGTGTTTGTACACAACTCTGATTAATTCCTTTGGATAAATTACAAAAATTTAATCACTGGATTAAAGAGTATCTACATTTTTAAAGCTTTGGTGTATCTTGCAAAATTGTCATCTAGGAAGGTTGTATAGTTTCTACTCTCCCAAGTGGTATATGAGAGCACTGTCATTTACTGTGGTCTTATATTTTTACTTGGTTATTGGGTTTCTGGATTTAAACAATTAAGACATTTTTATTATTATTTTTTTTACTTTTTTTTTTTTTTTGAGGAAGATTGGCCCTGAACTAACATCTGTTCCCAGTCTTCCTCCTTTTTTCCTTTTTTTTCCTCCCCAAAGCCCCAGTAGATAGTTGTATGTCATAGTTGTACATCCTCCTAGTTGCTCTATGTGCAACGCCACCTCACCATGGCTTGATGAGTGGTGCATAGGTCTGCGCCCAGGATCCGAACCAGCGAACCCTGGCCCACCGGAGCGGAGCGCGTGAACTTAACTGCTATGCCGCCTGGCCAGCCCCAAGGCATTTTTATTTTTAAAACAATTCAAATAGATAAAGATGAACAGACGGTAATGAAACTCACACCTATGTACCCACCAGAAAAATTAAACAGGTGTTGACATTTTGCCATATATGCTTGTGTTATTTTAAGAAAAATATGTTATAGATTAAAAAATCATCTATAATTATCATCCCATTCTACAGATGTGAATGAGATCTCATCTCATTGATGAGAACAATCAGTCTCCAAGAGGTTAAGAAATTGTCTAACTAGTAAGAACCAGTAAATGGGTAATCCTAATGATGCTTTTGCCTTAGTCTATTTTGATAATATTAATATAGTTATTCCAGCCTCCCCCCCCCTTTTTTTTTGTGTGAGGAAGATCAGCCCTGAGTTAACATCCATGGCAATCCTCCTCTTTTTGCCGAGGAAGACTGGCCCTGAGCTAACATCCGTGCCCATCTTCCTCCACTTTATGTGGGATGCCGCCACAGCATGGCCTGACAAGCGGCACGTTGGTGTGGCCCGGGATCCAAACCTGGGCCACCAGCAGCGGAGCACGCCCACTTAACCACTATGCCACGGGGCCGACCCCTTTTTCCCCTTTTTGATCAGTATTTGTCTGGTGTGTGCTTTCTACTGTCATTACTTTTAACTTTTCTATGTTGTTATGTTTTAGCTGTACCTCTTGTAAATATATACGGCTAAATTAAAAAAAAAAAATCCAGTCTGAGTTTTTTAACCAACTATTTTAGTCTGCTTGCAGTTATAGTAATTGTTGATTTAAAAAAATTATTTCTCTAATTTTGTGTGTTCTATTTCCCATACTTTTCCTTTGCTTTCTTTTTCTCTTTTCCTGTCCCTTATTGAATTGAGCTGTATTGTTTCCTCCCTTTTTTCCTGTACTTGCTTTGTTATCCTTAAACATTTAATGTATGAACTTAAATAGCAGTCTAAAATTAACTCCAGTCAACCCCCTCCCCCAGTTTTTGTTTTTTTTTTTCAGTATTTTAATTTCTCTCCTTTTTTGGTACTTTATATTTTGGTACTTTATATTTTATGTTATACTTTGATATTCTGCAGTCTGACTACAGTGTGTGTAGATTTATTTTGATTTATATTCTGCTCAGAATTTGATATTATTCTCTACATCGAGAATTCGTGGCTTTCACAATACTGGAAAATCCTTAACTGTTATCTTTTAAAATATTGGTTCTCCTTCATTTCAGCAAAAATGCATAAAAATGCACCTCACTCATCTCCTGCTGCAGGAAGCGTAGTTGGCTGACCCAGACCCACATCTCAGGATTCACTCAAAAGCCATGCTTGCCCTGGGCTGCTCTCATTTGATGGCTGAATATTATGAGGCTTCCAGTGCTGGCCAATTTCTGCAGAGTGGAGGACTCCTTGAATGGGTAACTTTGGCTTGAGGAGTCCCCATCAGTGTGGCCAAAACTTTCTTAGAATTATGCTTCACTCTGAGTCTCATCCTACCCAACACTCCTTTCTCCCTCTTCTTTCAGAGGTCGCACCTGCATCATGGTCTGAAGCCTCTCTATGCCTCCTCTTGTTTTTCCCAACATCCTTTCTTGGCATCTGGTTATTGCAGGACCCAAACTAACACAGTCTCTCTATTTTCGTCATCTGGATCTTGCATTAAATGCCTATGGACCTCCTCATTGTACTTTCTATTCCCTTAGTTATTCTTTGATGCCCCTTTTATCTCTCTGATGCCCTTGGGTAATTTCCTCAAAATCTGTCTTCCATTTTACTTTATTCTCTCTTCCTTTGTGTTTAATCTGCTATTTAACCTATCCATTGACTTTTTAATTTCAGTGAGTATAATATTCATTTCCAGAAGTTCTATTTGGCTTATTTTCAAATCTCACTATTACTTTTTTCATATTGTTCGTCTGGGTTTTATTTTCTACTTTTATGTCTAATAGTTTTAAACATACTTATTTTGTATTCTCCTTTTCCAATTGTAACTTTATTATCCCAAGTTCCTGGAACTCTAATAATATTGCTTGTTGTGTTTGCTGTTTTCTGCTCATAGTATATTGTAATTTTTAATTTTCTTATAAGCTGATCTTTAGTAGGGATATTTTTTCTGTGGGAATCTCATGTGGCCTGATAGCAGGGCCCTCCAGAACAATTTGCATGGCTTCTTCTAGAGATCTCAGGAGTATCATGGGCTTGGGGCCCACAGTTTTGCTAATTTCTTAGTTTGGAATTTCCTAGATCACTCTGCTCAAGGCTCGGATCTGGGATATCTATTTTTCAGGAGAAAGTGTTTTTCACTCAGAGCCTAGAGACACACACAATTGTCCTCTTCGACTCTTTTTTCAGAGGATGACTTTTTCCCCCTGGTTTTCCTTTTTACTGAGGAAGTGTGCCTTTGAGGATCCTGCCTCTCCTCAAGAGTTCTATTTCTAACTCTCTGCTTCATGGTGGCTCAAGGTTTCACCTCCTTTGTCCTTTGGGTTTTAAAGTCCAAGTCTGTAAATTACCAGAGTAGTCTCAGAATCAGCTGGTTTTTCTCTTTCTTTCTCAAGTTATATTTTACCCAGCATTCCTAGGTATTTATAGGGAGGTTTTTTCACATTATCTTAGTCTGCCGACATATTGCTGAACCAGAAGTCCCATTTGCCATATTGGGTTCTGTGCTTCGAGGCTTCTC